GGGGCCGGGCACCGCCACTCCCTCTGTCACGGGTGGGACTGGCGCTGCGATGCGAAAGCCGAGCAATCGCAGCCGAGTCTGTAAGTAAATGCGCTTAAATGGTCTGACAGGCCGGGGCCTCGCGCCCTGCCTTGTCAGAAGTGGGCACGGAGGCGTGGGGCTGGGGGAGATGGGTCGGGGGCAAGGCGGGGACCTGCTGCCTTTCGGAAGCGAAGCGCCGCGGCTGTTCCCCTGGGAGTTTCCATCAGCCAGGGGTTACAGGGGCTGGGCGCCCTGGGCCAGCGCGGGGCCCGTGCGGAGCAGGGTGCGGGTTTGGAAGGGAAATGTCAATTGCTGTGCAATGAGCTCCACGTTTGAATCACTGGCAGGATAAGAATTGGGAGGTGTAGGTAGAGAACTGTGCTCTATAATGGTTTGTTAATGTAAGCGTTGCGCTAACACTGGTTGTCTATCAGTTAATACCGTATTAAGTTATTAATGCCACGTTACCGTATTACAGCTAGCCGGACAAGGCCCTCGTAAACCTTTATTTACACTAATGACAGCGAAGTCTGGGACAAAGAACAGAGAGTCTTAAGTCTGCATTGCAAAGGTGTTTCATGCTTCGGAGGTGTGGTGCTGCTCTGGCTGGGCTTTAGCTCCCCTCTCAGCCACTGTCACTAAGCTAATGTTGAATAAATGGCCCTGCCAAGTTATCTGCGGAAGAAGGGAAACAATTTTATGCCACTGACTGTGCAGGGAAAGCCCTGAGCTGCCCTCTCTGCTGAGTCTCTTCTGACGCAGACTCATAATCCTCACGCAGGAATGTTCACACTTCTGCTTGGTACCTTGGCGCACTCTCAGGGCAAAACGAAGGGTTTGGGTCACAGTAATGGAAATCACTTGTATGGGGGTCACTGTGACCTGTTGGTGCTTTACAGGTGCTGTGTTTTATCTGGCTACTACCTTTTGCTGTCTTCTGAATAATTTTCTTTCTCATGTAGAAATAATGTGTGAAAACTAGGTTTTACTCCTTACCGTTCCTAAGACTAAGCTGGTTGTTCGTTGGCGTCTAGTGGAAGACAAACTGATGATTCCTGAGGTCTAACTACAGGTGCCTGTGGGCATGTAAGAAAGTGCAGGTTGCTTTTGCTGAATTCACTGACCACAAGAAATTAAACCGAACACTGTAATGCTCACGATCTGTTGTTTTCCTGTTGGAAAGATCTGCTTTCCTCTTAGGAGCCCAGCACTGGTGGTTGTTTTCGTGTTTACTCCTTCCACGCCTCCGCAGTGAGAATTCTTGCAACGTTTTCCATGCTGACAATAGAAGTTAGGTTTAAGATTCACAGCACTGTGCACCCTGTCTACTGAACCCAGAGCTTATGTGGTGCATATGAACTAAAAACAGGACGATGGAAGTGCAGTGGGCTCAGTTCCACCTCAACAGATGGATGTGAGTGTGTGCCGCCAAGAGAGCGTGTCACATATGTCTGTTAGGGCAAGACCCCCTGCCCAGATCATCTAAACTGCTGTCTATCCTGATTTTTTACATGTCTGTGGTTTGGGGATGTGGCACCGCTGCATCATTTTTAGGTTGGATTAAATTCTGAAAATAAACTATAAGCATTGTGGCCAGCAGTGGAGATAGCGGAATGATTTAAATCAGCAAAAAAGGTAGTGGAATGCAGAAAAATTATTTTGTGGGGATCTCCAGATGGAGACTGATGCTAAGAGGGCTACAGAATAGGCTAACCCGAAATTTCCTGCTGTGACATCCTCTGCTGTGCACACTGTTATCTGTGAACAGTGCCACTCCGTGGCAGTTCCCGTCCTGGGAGAAGGCTGGAGTCAGTGCAGAGAGCACAGGACTCCTGTTCTTGTTCGTAGTACTGACTTAATAGCGTATAAACCAGCATCTGCTTTTGTCTCTGTATGTTGTATTTTGGTACGGGCCTTTGTAAAAAGAATGTCTTTTTGCTCTGCTGGAATCAAGACCCCCTGAATAACAAGCTTCTGCTTGGCTTATTGTAACGTCCATACCTGTGGCAGTTCAGAGCTGCCTGTAGTTACTCACCAATAAAACACCAGACACAGCATGGCTCGGGAGACAGCAGCTGAAAGACTTGGCCCTCAAAGTTCCCGATTCAGGTGCCTTCTGACCAGAACTGTCTGAGACTTGTTACCACAAGGTGTCTCTTTGGTTTCTTTGTCGAAGCGGATTGCTGGTTGCCATCCCAATCCACATCACTGGTGTATTTTAGAAAGACTGGGCCAGGCACTTGGTTTGAAGCAGAGAGAGACAGCTTGGTGTGAAGGCAAGAAATGGATTTATCTCCCCCAGACATGAAGTGTTGCTCCCTACGCAGAAAAAAGGCATGTGGGTGAAATACTACCGTGGAAGTCAGTGTGATGAGGACTTGCAGGGATATCACCTGCTTTTGAGAGGAAATCGAAGCCTCAGGTCTCCATTGCAGTCGGTCACTCAGGTTGGATAAGCACTAAACTTTATTCAAAATGTCTTAAAAGAAAGTGACATCCTTGAGCTTCAGAGTTTCCCCATTTGTATGTTAAAGTGGTGTTCTTTAGAGCTATTTTAGGTACAGTAGTTATTGTTCTCTGTAAAGAATGCAGTCTCTTTAGAGGCAACACTGGTTTCTTTTTCCTCTTTTTTTACCTCTGGAAACTGGAAGCCCTGTTTTGAGTCCACCCCCTCAAGGCAGTGTCGTAGCTGGTTTGCCGCACAGTAGGGCCATCAAATCAAACTAAATCTTTGTTCACATAGGTGTATGAGACTGCTAGGACCTAGCCCTGTGTTGCTGTATGAATTGTATATGGATAGTAGCATAATACATACGCTTCATCATCCTATTTTGAGCTCTGTACAGATAAGTACTTGCATCAAATCTGTGTGTAATAATTGAATCATCTAATACATTTACTCTCAAAAGTATTTTCATTGTACACAGGGATATTTCCTCTGTGTGAAAGCAGAAATGTGCTCAAACAATGGCTTTGCCACCAGTGGTTAAGAAACACCCTCATTAAATACAGTGCCTAAAAGCTGATGGCATGGCACTAGTCACAGTGTCCTGCATGAATTGGGTTCTAATCCTATTTTCCTTGCAATAGAAATCTTCCCAATATATTCAGTGTAGTAAGGTAGGGCCTCTGTGTGCTTGTATTCCAATAAATGTGATTATAGATCAAATGCTGCTTTTAGCTGTGCCTGCAGAGCTCTTCCTGACTTCAGCTGGAGTCCCAGTCAGGCACCATGGGTGGAAAAAATGCGATTCCTTACATCTTCTAGTTGAACTGAAACATGAACTTATTAGAATAAATGTGTCTGTTACTGAGATTCTCTAAAGATCATAGTGTCTCATCTGACAAACCAGGTATAAATAGAAAATCCATAGTTTTGGACACGTCATCTGAAATTGTATTTGATAGAAATTTGTGATCAGCATTATAGCATATAAGGGAATAGATCTAATGTAACTGAAAAAATTGCCCAGTATGCCAGAAATATTAGCTACTCAAACAGAATTTTATCTGTAATGTTTAAACTACCATATAAAAACTTAGTGCTGTGGTCTCACAAGAGTCAAAAGGATGACTGCTTGTCTGCTGGCAAGGTAGGCTGAAGTAGAAACTGAGAACATGTTATTTGCGCTGCGAAGAGGCAAAGATCTGCTGGTAA